CGGCCCACACTTTAATTAGATGCTTAAAGCCCAATTACTTAATTCCTTATTAGATCACTTTAATTTTGGGCTTAACTTTAAGATAGCGTTTATACACAATTAATTACATATGTCGGCCCATCACGGGAAATTAAATAATTTCCCAACATAACCTACTTCGATTTAATATGAAAATAATAGATGATTCTTAACGATTGAAAATTACTCATTTTTACGAGGTTGGCCTTTTAGTATGGAACTTTTAAGTCTGGACACGATCATTAGAAAACCACAAGCTAAAAGAGCACTTCGATCAAGGTTGGTGTACTTTAGAGTACAAAATTTTCACATCGATTAAATATGAATAAACAATTATAAATGTTATTTTAAACACGAACTCGACTCAATATAGAGAGATAGATTGATATAATCTTAAAGAATATAGGTATGCTTATTTATCTGCTTCCATGAATGTATCTGAGTATATCTAAATGTCATATTCAAATGTATGTATGTATGAAACATCAAAGTGCTTGTATTAGGATTAGAGCTCTCAAATTTATAGTTTGATAAAGTAAGTATGTTTCTATCTCTTTTGCATTAATTTTTTCAGTAAGGTCAATACAAGAAACTACACACATTAACCTTCATAATTCATGATAATTAAGAAAAACTTTCACTAAATACTAAATAGGATATATACTACCCATTCTCATTAATTCAGAAAACAAATACCTAATCAACTTGTAATAATTGTTGTTGTTATTATTTTTGGCACAAAATCAGCTTCTATTTCAAGGTTTTTTTTGAAACATCTACTTAAATCTACATATGGAGTTCGAGTTTGATTCCACAATAGTTTGTTGTTGATTTAGTTATAATAAATGTTAAAAGTGTATGATATGTATTGCATTACTGTTAAAGGAGCCACAAGATGGAAGAATGTCGCAAGAGTATTTTAAGCTTTACCACTATTATTTATGTTAGCATGTGAATGAAAAATGCTTCAAAACTTGAAATAAGAGGAATTCATGTAATTTTGAAAATAGAAGAATTGTCACACACTTCAGGAGATGTATGAATTAATCAAAGCTTGAAAAAAGGAAAGTTTGTGTAATTTTTCGAAAGGGATGATATCTTTGAAATTGTCATTAATCTAGTAGGAAACATGGGTTATTTAAAATTTAAAATAAGAAACGTTGTTAGATGTTGCCACTTTCACTTGGCTTCCTTTGAGTGTTGAGATTATGCATCTGTTTTTGCGTCTCAAAATTTTTCGATTCTTGATTATGTTTGTGTAATATTTTAAAAGTGAAGGGATATCTTTTTGGTTATATGACATGAATCAGCTTCACATACACACTTTTGTCCAATGAAATATATTCGTAGCAACAATTTTGCATTTATTTTTCTAAAGGGTAGGGTTGAAGCATGGTGGGGGCAAATGGAAATGAGAAATAGGGACACCAAGGAGACAACATTACATGGCCAAACCGTCATTTGCGCCACAAGGACAGGACACACAAACCCTACTGCAGGCTGCCACGTGGCAGATAATCCTTGTGAAAACAAATGCCATGTAAAACAAGGAAGCAAATATGGGGCCAAGCCACTCGTCCTTGTGTTGTGTTGTCTTTTTGCTTATATTTGCGCAAAAAAAAACACTTTTTTCTTTTTTTTGACAAAATGACCAAATCAAATCAATTGTAGCTTTCAAATAGGATAAATTACTCTGATGGTCCCGGCGTTTTATAACTATAGCAGTCGTGTCCAAACTTTTCATCTTTTGTTTCCAATTTTAAAAACCGTTAAAGATGTATCCTCATTTGACGAAACCTGTCTATTTAGACGTTAAATGTTTCACGCTGACATCTGCTTTGTGACTAAAAGATTCTCGTTATTTCATTAATTAGCATATTGTCCTTGTAACTGTATAAGTCCAAAAATTCTATTCAGATGACATGAGAAGACAAATTTGTACTTTGTATTTTTAAATGAGCAAAAAGAAAATAAATGTGAGATTAAATATTTTCCATTTATTTCAAAGCATGTTAATAAAATTTTTGGATCAAAATAGCTATCAAGGACAGTATATGCCGATTAATGAAAGGTTGATGATAAAAATGCGATGACAAAATGTTGAATATATAAGTGTGATAGATAATAAGTAATGTTAAGAACCTTTAATTATGTTAAAATGTGGTGAATTTATAAAAAAAAATATAGTGACAATATAATTACCCATTTCAAAAACCAAATGGTGGTCGTTGAACTTACATTAAGGTTCCGTCTGATTGCGAATGTGGAATTTGGATGGAAAGAAAATGAATTATAGGGAATTGAATTGCCTAGAATTTGTTTTACTGGGAATTGTAATTAATTGTGTTTGATTGGTATAATTTTTCACCTGGAAAATATTGAAAGTTTGGTATCCGTTTGACTTTGTTTTTCATGAAAATTGTCCATTAAAGTGATAATTTTTTTTACCATTGGATCTAAAATTTGTTCCAAAAAATAAAAAAATTACCATACCGAATACCATTCGTTTGACTTTGTTTTGNAAATATTGAAAGTTTGGTATCCGTTTGACTTTGTTTTTCATGAAAATTGTCCATTAAAGTGATAATTTTTTTTACCATTGGGTCTAGAATTTGTTCCAATTGTCAAAAAAATAAATAAATAAAATAAAATAAAATTATCATACCGAATACCATTCGTTTGACTTTGTTTTGTATGAAAATTATCAATAAAAGTGATAATTTACCCTTTCAAATATAGACCCTTAAAAGAATTTACCCTTTCA